CTGATAGTAATACTAAAAGCTGTGTGGCTGGATAATTTTAAGGGACTGAGTACAAGAAGAGAAACAGGTATACCTTTCTTAAAAAGTTTTAACTATTGATAGAGTTTATTTTTAGGTGGGAGAATCCACACGAAAAAATGGAGGGGTGGCAACAATTCTTTCAGCAAATAAGTACCTTTGGGAATCTCTTGAGTAGAAACAGTCCTGTGGTCCTACTTTAAATTTAGAACTGTTAGGTGGGTATGGTGGCTCATACCTGTAATCCCAGCATTCTGAGGGGCTAAGGCAAAGTATTTCAAGCCCAGTCTGGGCAATTTAGTGATTTAGGAAGAACCTGTCTCAAAATTTTAAAAGGTGGTGATACAACTCAGTGAGAAAGTCTTTGGTTGAATTCCCAGTACAGAAAGAAAACATTTGTACCTGTTTATTGAAATTATTATTACAAAGTTTGAAATTGTTTACTTAAAATACATTGTTTATTTTATGGTCATAGATACTTCAAAGTTAGTTTGGGGTATTTGGAGTTTTAAAAGTATATTTCATGTAGATGTTAGATTTTTACATTTCTCCCTTTATAAATTGCAAAGTTTAAACTTCATACGGTGTTATTTATTTATTATATTTTTTAATTTGTGCACAATAATTGTACATGTTTATGGGTACAGTGTGATATTTTGATACATGTATATGATGTGTAGTGATAGATGGGGGTTATGATATATATGTCATCTACAGGATTTCGGGGAACATTACAGCATATTGGGAACGTCTACAAACTGTTTTGAAATACACATTTTGTCAATTATAATTACTCTCCTGTGTTGCTGAACATTAGGTGTTATTTTACCAGTCCAACTGCACCACCATACCCATTTCCACCTTCTCCCTCATACCATTTCCCCAGATCACCTTTTTAAATATTTAAGGTTAGAAAATCAGAATGATGACCTTTGAAAATCACTTTTTTTTTTTGGTACTGGGGATTGAACTCATGTCCTTGCGCTTGCGGGGCAGGCAGAGGAACCACTGAGCTAAATCCCTGGCCCTAAAATCACTTTTAATCCCATTTTGTTATTAGAAAAAGAAATATATTTTTAAACAGTTCATTTTAACAATGTTTAAAATTAAAAATTGTTATAGAAAAAATTTGGATAAATTAAAAGAAAAATTATCCATAATATCATTGAAGGCTGTAGAAGGAAGGACTGGTGGAAGATGAGGCATGAACAGATGTTATTTATGGATATTTATATCCATATACAATACATTGGTTAAAAGTACTTTACTGTTTTACTATGAAGAAACAGTTGAATTATAAAGTAAAACTGATTGGAGACTATAAGAGAAAAACATATGTTAACATAATATTTGGTAGAGGCTTTACCATAAGTTTACTTTCTAATGAAATGGTAGAAAAATCATTTTGTCTCTTTGCTTTTGCTATGATTTTGGTTTATTTAACTCTCAAAGAGAAAACAGTTGCTACTATTAGTTATATTTTATAACATCGAAGAAAAGTTATGCTGTGTCAGTTTTTTTCTGGATTGCTTTTAGGCATTGTTTAAAAGGAAAAACCTCATTTGTACTATTTATTCTATACATCATTCAATCGGTAGTAAGAGTGCTGCTGTTTTGTTTTTGTTTTTGTTTTTGTTTTTGGTACCAGGGATTGAACCTGGGTCCTTGAGCTTGCAAGGCAGCCGGCAGAACCACTGAGCTAAATCCCCAGCCGGAGTGCTGCTCTTAGTTCAGCACTGTGCCAGGTCCTAGGAATAGAAAGTCTGATAGGCCACTAACTTTAGCCTGAATCTGAAAATCTTTTAGTTTAGAAGGGGAAAGAGAAAGTAAGCTAAATTAGCCTGCAGCATCGTAGGGGCCCTGGTATTCACGTACATATATATGAAAATCAAAAGACATAAGTGATACCTAAATAGTTTTTTTATTGCTATGTGTGTGGTACATAATAATTACATTTATTTGAGGAGTTGGTACGTGTATATAACCCATCTTAATTCTTTTTGTTTGTCCCCAAACCTTCCCATCCCTCCCTGCTCCTTCCAACACTTGGCCCCCTTCCCATTTACAAAAGCTCTATTGCCTTATTTTTGGTCTTCAATTCTTTCTTTTCTATCCCTTTTTCTGCCCTTCCCTTCCCCCTATACAAAATAATTATTGGCCTTTAGGAAACTGAAGCAGTTTGCTTTGTAAAAATTAAGGCAAGATATGATGTGAGATGAGAGAGGCATGTAAGGGCCAACTAGAAAAGTGTCTCATATGCTGGGTAAAAGGAACTTGGATTTCGTCATAAGCTTTTGAGGAACTAGTAAAGGTTTAACTAGGAAAGCTATATGGAGGAGGGATTTACAGAGAAGACAAGGGAAACCCAGTTCTGAGGCAGGAGACAGCCAGGGCGATAGTAAGAGGGATAGAGAGAAATGGAGTGGAGAGCCGTCTAAGTCTGGTGGACTTGGGCAGAGTGACTGAAATCTAGTCATTTTTCACATTTCTGTTATCAGCAAACATGACTTCAGTTGGAGGTCATTATATACCAAAGGAAATAATTCATCTATTTTTTTTTCTCCAACCAGTGTGAATGCCTTAAGTTTCTACACCAGAAGACTATGAATAGGGTCATGAAATTTATTTTAACACAATTTGACCTCTAGGGCAGGTTTAATACTGGGAAAGGTGTAAGGTTTGGATATGCAGGATTCAAGTCCAGGCTTTAGCACTTATTACTAGCTGTGTGATCTTAGGACAGTTATTTGAGCACTCCAAGATTGTTTCCTTGTCTATAAAATAGAGCTTGGTTGTGATGAGTAAATGAGTCTATATTAATTGCCTTCCCAGAGCTAGGTAGGTAATAGAGGTTTAGACAGTATTTATCCTTCCCTTAAGTCAGATGAAGGGAATGAAAATTGGTTCTTGAGGGAGAGAAGGTTAAAAAAAAGGTCTTACTCTAATGTATAAAATTAATATATGCACACAGTACATAAACATATACAGTGTTACATATCTGGTATTCAAATGCCATGGGCAGTGAGGCAGGTTAGGAAAATAATGTCTAATAATGGCTTTTAGGGGAAGATAATGAAAATAAGGTGGAGAAATATATAGTAGAGTAAGTAATCTGCCTGCTTGAAGACTAATCATGTATATTAAGTATTAAGAAATGTAATTTTTTTCTTGTTAGTACACAAGTGATCAGTTCTGAGAAGTTAATCATTTTGGCACCTGTTCAGAGTCTTATTCCCCCAAAAAAGTGTTACTGTGCATTTTTTTATATCTTCCAAATAAATGATATCCTTAGTAAATGTTTAAATACATTAAGGATAGCATTAAGAGAAGTTATTACTATAGAAATAATTTATCCAAATGAAATTTAATGATAAGTTCAGCAATCAGAGCTTCTACCAGGAGTTATAAATAATTCTGAATTTGGGGCACTTAATAATCTTCAGAATTTTAAATTAAACTCCTGTGTATCTACCCTTTTATATATAGGCATTCTAGTAATAGTACTGCATCATTAGTAAAGTATATATGTTTAACTAAATGTTTCAGTTAATTGAAACTTCAAGTGCTAAGGTTTTAAAAATTTGTATATTAACTAGTATACTGAAGTTAACTTTAGCCACCTGCCACACAAATTCATACTCCTGTTCATAAACATGGGGAGAGATTGTATATGCATAGTGATTAATTAGCATCAGCAGTTATTGCCATGTAAAGTTCAGATTCAACAGTATGATTTTCTAAAAGATAAAAGTTAACCCTTCCTTGTTAAAAACAACTCAGTTTTTCTAATAAAAGTAGTACATACACATTAGCATATTAAAAATAATGAAAGTATACAGAAGCAAAGGGAACCATATTCCAAAAACAAAAAATAATGTTTATATTCCTTCCATTCTTCGACTTCTTCAGAAATCATTTACAATGATTCTCAGTGTTTTTTGTTTTTTTGTTTTTTTCTTGCGCTGGGAATTGAACCTAGAGCCTTGTCTCATACATGCTAAGCATGTGCTCTGTACCACGGAGCAACACTCAGAGCCCCATCATTCTCCATTTTTTATTTGAAACTTATCAAACAATATTTTTGAAATCATTTCTTTCTGTAGATATTTTGTGGGCTTGTAAAGGTTATTCAAAATTTCTTGAAATCTTTTCTCCCTTAATCTCTTATTTTGAGAGTCAACTTCAGAAAAACAAAATCGAGGGCTGGGGATTTAGCTCAGTGGTTTCGCCCCCTGCTGTGCAAGTGCAAGGACCCAAGTTCGATTCCCAGTACCAAAAAAACCCACCAAAATTGAATTACTTTTGTTCAATCTGCCTATTTTTCTCCCTAGACTCTTTTAATTTACTTGGGTTTAACATAAATACGCAACTTTACATTCTAAAAGTACACATCTTTCTATAGCTTTTTAAAATTTCTAGTGCAGAGTTTATAAATTAGTCTTTTGAGCTGGATTGAGTCTTTAGATATATTTTGTTTAATGTGCGCAGCATTGACTCATGCAACTTTAAAGACATTTTTGAATTAGTGTCTACATTTACAATTTGATAGAATTCATATTGAATATTTGGATTTCTCTTCTCTTTTGAAAACTGTATGACCTTGAAATACTAGTTGTGTACTCTTCCATGATAGCACTTGGCAGTGGGTATCATCTTTAAATAGTCCATGCATTTTCTTGTGTGCCATAGTACTGTCAATCTTATCATCTCTGTATTTTTTTTTTTTTTTTTTGGTACCAGGGATCAAATTTAGGACCTTGTTGTGCTTGTGAGGCAGACACTGGAACCACTGAGCTAAATCCCTGGCCCATCTCTCTGTATTATACCTGGCTGCTTCACTAATTGAGAAGCTCTGCCTTTCAGTCTCTGTTCTAGGCTAATCATATTAAAGCAGCCCTGGGTTGTTGCTTTTGTTTGTTGTTAAAGCAAACCTGGGAGCAAACTCTTTTATTTCTTACACTGTATCTGTTTTTGTCTTACAGGAGAAGATGTGTGGTCTTATGCGAAGGGACTTCCTCACATGTTTCAGCAGGGTGGTGTATTCTACAATATTATGAAGAAAACCATGGGTATAACTAATTTCTTTATTATTAGCTAATATGTCCACTTATACTATTATAAGATTAAGAAAGTTCAAATAGTACTATATTAAAGATACTTCTAGTTAGGGATGGTGGTACATGCCTATAACGGGAGGCTGAGGTAGAAAGATTGCTTGAGCCTAGGAGTTGGAGATCAGCCTGGGCAATATAGGAAGAGCCCGTGTTTAAAACACACCCACCCACATACTTCTGCGTATAGATCTATATATATTTACACATGCATACATACAGATTTATGTACAGATCTGTATATGTATGTATATGTATACATTATATAGATAGATATTAACATATACATATATATTTCCAAGGCTGATTAATTAAGTTCAGAGTCTTCTTTAGCAGTCTGCTTTGTTAAAATAGATTATTATGCTGACATGGTTAGCTGTGTTTCTCCTATGTTATTATTAAACATTTTCCATCACTTTCTGGCTTTTATTTTCTCGTTTAAATTATGTGTATGATTCTTAACAACTAAAGACAATTGTGAAATTAGAAGTGGTTTGGTTAAAATGTTAGTAACTATCCCTGAATCAGATAATATAATATCTTTATTATATTGTGTTTTAGTCATGATTAATATTTTATGTCTCATTGTTTTTAGGTTTTAGGAAATAGCTCATTTTACATTTAATTTTTTTGACATTGTGCATTATTTGTAAAGATATACACTTGTATGTAAACATAAGAGGGAAATTTCCAGGACATGTGTTTGAACCTCACTATTCAAAGATTTGACATGATTGCATTTGGCCTCAGATTTATCACTTTGGCTTATCTCACTGTTCTACCTACCTGGACTCTACAGACAGTAAATGCAAAATCTCTGTTCTGTCATTTTCATTTCTTCCTCATACACATTTTTTTCTTTTTTTAATAAAACTCCTTCAACTTGAGTATTGTAGGAATATTCAGACATATAAAAATAGCAAGAATACTATAATGAGATCTCATTTATGTACCACCTAGCTTCAAAAGTTATCAGTACAGGCCGGGGATTTAGCTCAGCGGTTTCACCACCTGCTGCGCAAGCGCAAGGACCTGAGTTCAATCCCCGATACCAAAAAAAAAAAAAAAAAAAAAAGTTATCAGTACATCTCTACTTCTCAACTGAACTGTATTAAAGCAAATCTCAGAGATAATATAATTTCATCTATATAAGTATGTATCTCTGAAGGTAAGGGGTCTTTTTTTTTAAACACAAATAACCTCAGTACTATTGTCACATCTAAAACAAAAATATATTTCCTTCCAGTGGTGGGGCTTGAACCTTAGTCTCAGGCATGCTGGGCATATGCTGTACCCTAAGCTCCATCCCCAGCTCCCTAAATAATAATTTTTTAAATATCACCCAATAGTGTTTAAATTTCCTTGATATTTGATTCTCTCCAAAAATTGCTTTTTTTTTTTTCTTTATTTGAATCAGGAACCAAAGAAGGCCTTTCTTTTCTTTATTTCTTTTTTCAAAACAGGTCTTTTGGTTTGTGGGGGAGGGTTGTGTTTGTTTTTGTTGTTGTTGTTTGAGACAGGTTCTCATAAAGTTGCTAAGAGTGGCCCAAACTGGGTGTGAACCTGGGATCCTCCTGCCTCAGTCTCCCAGAGTGCTGGCATTACAGGTATGCACCACCACACCTGTATTGAGGCATAATTTATATGGAATAAAATTCGCCTTTCTTAGGTGTTCAGGTACTGGTTTTGTATATCTTGTCAGAAATGCCTAGGATTAGAAATTTTTTGGATTTTGTATATTTTGGGTTTTGGAATATTTATATAGTGAGATATCTTGGGGATGGGTTCTAAGTTTAAACACAGAATTCATTTATGCCTCAATGTACACCTTATACACATAGGCTGAAGGTAATTTTATACAATATCTTAAGTAATTTTGTGTGAGACAGTTTCATGATGGAGGATTTTCATTTGGTGACATTATGTTGGCACTCAAAAATCTTACAAATTTTGGAGCATTTGGGATTTCAAATTATTGTAATAGGAATGCCCAAGCTGTATATAAATTTTATAGAAACATAAAGTCTTGCACTATCAATCAAGATGTAGAATATTTCTGCCACTCCAGAAGGTCATTTTGGGCTTCGTAATCAACACCCTTTCTCTAACTCCCATGCCCCAGCAACCACTAATTTGTTTTGTGTGTTTACCTTTTTCACATTACCATATACGTGGAATCATTTAATGTAACCTTTTGTGTCTGGCTTCTTTGTTTTAGCACAGGAGTTGGCCAACAATAGCCTGAGATCTGCATCAGGTCTCTTGCCTGTTGTATATAATGTTTTATCAGAATACAGCCATGTTTACATATTGTCTGTGACTGCTTTTGCACAACAATAGCAGAGTTGAATAGCTATGATAGAGACCTTATAGCCCACAAAACCTAAAGTGTGTATCATGTTGCTCTTTATGGAAAACAATTGCCTGTTTTTGTTTTGTTTTTAATTAGAATGGGAAAGAGGTTTATTTTGGTTTATGCTTCTGGTCCAAAGTCCAGAGACTAAGTGTCTATGATCCAAGGTCTGATAATGGCTTTTTTTTTGTACCTGGGATGGAACTCAGGACCTTGCGCTTGCCAGGCAGGCACAGTGCCACTGAGCTAAATCCATGACCCAAAATTCTTTCTTTGAGGTTTTTTTGTTTGTTTATTTTTTGGAGACAAGGTCTTGCTTTGTGTTCAGTCTGGCCTCAAACTCATGGCAATCCTCCTGCCTCTGCCTCCCAAGTGCTGGGATTACAGGTGTGCGCCACCACTCCTGGCCCTGATAATGGCCTTCTTGCTGACCAAGTACTGAGACAGGCAGCACAGGACATGACATGGCAAGAGAGAGGAAGTATGTGTATGCCCTATTTCTATTTTAATAAACATTTGTGATTTGTGTTATTTCATATATTAGTTTTTTTATTGCTAATATTTCATTGATTGGATAGCTCACATTTTAAAAATTCATAACCAGCCAGGGGACATTTGAACTGTTTTCAGTTTTTGGCCATTATGCATAAAGCTACTATAAACATTTATATGCAGGTCTTTGTGTAAACATACCTTTTTACTCTTCTTTGGTACATTTTAGAAGTGGAATTGCAAGGTCAGGTGGTAAGTACTGATATATGTTTATAAGAATAAACTTCCAAACCATTTTCCAAAATGTTTAGTCCATTTTGCACTTACACCTGCATCGTATGAGTGTTTCATCTGTTTTGTATCCCTGTCAGCATTTGATAGTGTCAGGTTTTGTTTTTTTTAACATTCTTATAGATTTATAGTACTAGCCCACAGTGGTTTTAATGTACATTTCCCTAAAAAATGATTTTGAACATCTTTTCATATGTTTATTTGCTCTTTTTTGCATATTCTAAAATTTTTAAAATTTTATTATTGAGTTTTGAGTTTTTATGTATATTTTGGGCACTCATGTTTTATTGAATAGGTGTTTTGTTTTTTCCTGGTACTAGGGATTGAACTCAGGACCTTGCACTTGCCAGGCAGGCGCAGTGCAACTGAGCTACATTCCCAGCCCTTATCAGATAGGTGTTTTGTGAATATTTCTCCCAGTCTTTGACTTGTCTTTTTATTCTCTTAATATCTTTTGAAGATCAGAGGTTTTTAATTTAGATAAAGTCCATTTTAACAATTTTTTCTTTTATGTTTCATGCTTTTTGTGTCCTAAATCTTTGCTTAATCCAAGGTCACAAAAATCATGTTTTCTCTTGGAAGTTTATAGCATTTAGATTTTATATTTAAGTTTATGATCCAGATATACTTTGGCTATTAAATATAAGACATGTTGCAAGGTATGAGCCTTTTTTTTCTTGCCATAATGGAGAAGAATTTTCTTTTTAATGTATGGATGTTTAATGCATGGATGTAATAATGTTTGTTTAATGTGTAGTTTTTTTTTTAATGTTAGGTTTTATTCATTAAATCATTTTGTCAAAAATCAGTTGACCATAAATTGTACCACTTGCAAAGGGTGAATTATACCATATGCAAAACATAGCTCAATATATATTTTTTTTTATCTTACATATATGGTCTTGTTCTAGAAACTCTGTTCTGGGGCCGGGGATTTAACTCAGTGGTTCCGCTGTCCCTGCCCCCCAAGCACAAGGTCTTGAGTTCAATCTCTGGTACCAAAAAAAAAAGAAAGAAAGAAACTCATATAAGGCGTTTTTTGCTGGAAGTGTGGAGTACATGTCTTTAATGTGTTGAGAAGGTTCTGTTCTACTTCTAGTCTCCTGATAGCTTTTACCATGAACAGCTGTGGAATTTAGTC